TTGGCATTTGGCTCGGTTAACTTACGCCCGCCGGTCCGTGCATATTATAAGAATACAAATCATTCCTCCCCATATGCCAACCAGGCAGAGAACAAGGATTTAGCTGAGGCCCAGATCTTCAACAAATGCCAGGGAATGAAGCAGCTGGAGCTGGTAATGGAAGTGCCTCATCGGACTGAAGCAGGCAGTCCCTGGCACAAGGCTGGCCGCAACGCTTGGTCAGCGAGTGCGGAATTTGTCAGCTGATTACCGAGGCCTGATTTAACTTTTCGGCCTTCTCATTAGTGGGGCTGTTTAGAAGAAGAGCATGCAGGAGTGCATTGCAACTTATTAAAATGCCAAACTCTGCTGGCTCCTAAAGATTGCCCTGCAGATATAACAAGGGGAAAGACTCCAGAGGTCATTATTTATTCAGATGAAGAGCTGGTTCCCCCAGTAAAGTCCCCTAGGGGAAGAAAAAAAATCACCAGCGCTCAGTGATGCTCAGTGAGCTTACTCTGCAGACGTGTGCATGGCCTTGACTTTGCACTTGAACCCCTTTGGTGTCTACAGACCTGCTGGCAAGGGCGGGGAAGTTCATCCAGTGCTTTCTGCTTTTCTTTGCTGAATTGGACCCACCAAGCACAAGATTAAACAAATGTGTAGGTCTGTGCAGGAGCAAGGCTATGGCTTTTAGAGTCAAGCTGTAGCTGAGGAATGGCTCACAACCAGCTTGTACTAGACCGCGGAGGGCAGACCCGCACGCAGGCATGGGCGAACCGGGGGCCCGGACAGAAATGAGGCCTGAAAACGGTAATTGTCTGATTATTATTATCATTCTCTCTGGCAAAGGGAGGGCCAATACTAAAAGTTAGCCCAGGACCACCAGGAGTCGAGGTACGGTATTGACGGAGGGGGTCTTAGCCACTTTCCCTGCGTTTCCTATTGCTCTCTTGACGTCACGATGACTTTTGCCATTGAAGTAGCTCTACAAAATAGGACAAAACCCCCCCTGTGTGTTTAAGTATGGCATCTACCCCAGCCCTGCCCCATATAGACTGAGCCGTGAACCCCCACACCAGCTTGCACGGGGTCCAAACTCGCCCGAATGTTTTCATTTCCCCTGCTTGGATGTCTTCCTCTATTGGACAGGGAAGCAATGCCCAGAATTAGCTCTGGAGCAGGGGAGTTAGGGGCCCAGGCTCTGAACCAGACTTGAAATGCTGGAGGCTTCAAGTGTTAGAGTAAGAGTGGGGAAAGCCCAGCAGACCCAGTTCAATCTGCTTTCAGCCTCCACTCTGGTGCTGCGCGGCACAGGATGCTGGGCTAATGCACCCGCTGCATGGCAGTCCTGGGAGTGTAAAACAAGCAGGTTGCACACCCCTGAGCCTGCAGAAAGGGTTGTAGAGGGCTTTGCAGAGGCATGCATCCCTCCAGGCCCTTCGCCCACTGCCACCCCACTGCTCTCGGTCCCGAAAGGGAAGGCAAGGTGCAGTTGCAAGCCCTGAGCTGCTGCAGTTTCAAGAAAGGAAAAACGAAACCCACAGTAAGGAAGGGACGGGTGTGCACTGCACAGTGGTATCTGGGTCGTGCAGCATGCTTCCGTATCCGCCGAAATAGCTCAGTTGGGAGAGCGTTAGACTGAAGATCTAAAGGTCCCTGGTTCGATCCCGGGTTTCGGCAGAGCCTTTTTAGCTTCAGACGTGCCATTTGCAGCGAGGGCTCTTGCTAGGTGCATGGCAAAGGGATCCGCCGGTGCATTTTGCACCCTGCTTTTGCACTGCAATGCTTGCACCCAGCCCGGCTCTGAAAACGGATCCCGGCAGGGTCGGCTCTCAGCTCCTCCTCGTTAGTATAGTGGTAAGTATCCCCGCCTGTCACGCGGGAGACCGGGGTTCGATTCCCCGACGGGGAGAGCACATGCATTTTTTTTTTTTTTTCCCCCCTTTCCTCCCCCAACATTTGTAGGTTTGCAGCTGATTTCTTGTTCGCTTTTTTTTTTTTTTTTTTTTGCAAAGATCAAAACCCAGTGCAACACCCAGCGCCCCCCAGGACTGGTGCATTCATCCGGTGCTTTTTAAGAGCCACCTCTTTGTGCAAAAAGAAAAGAAAACGGGAAGGCGACATTTCCCCTCGAGATGCGGGGCTTTTGCACAGGCTGGAGCCGCCAGCGCAGCCAGATCCCCCGACCGGCGGCGGAGGCTGCAGAGCGGGGATGTAGCTCAGTGGTAGAGCGCATGCTTTGCATGTATGAGGCCCCGGGTTCAATCCCCGGCATCTCCACTTTTATCACCTCTCTCTTTTCCTCGATGCATTTGTACAATGTGCACAGAGGAGGACGGAGACTGCTCTTTGTGAAGACAACCTGGTGGCTGGAAAAGCCTGGTTGGAGGCTGCGAACACAGAAGGATTATCAGAGCTGGTGGCAGCTGATCTTTTATTAGCTATTTGCCAAAAAAAATAAAAATAAAAGGCTTGATTTGCAAGCTTTGCTAGCACAGGCACCCTGCCTCAGGCAGAGGAGAGTGCAAAGACTGGAAAAGTGCGGGGAGGCAGAAATGAAAATGCATGTTTCGAAACACAGAAGGCCATTGCCTGGAGGACAGGCGTGTCCCACTTGACACGGGGTACCGCAGTTACTCTGCATTGCGCCCGGCCCCACGCCTCTACTTGCTTTACAGATAAACCTGGAAAGAAGATCCCTAAAGAAGATCCCTGCCCGGGGAGGAACTAAACCTGGAAAGAAGATCCCAGCCCTGGGGGGAGTTACTAAACCTGGAAAGAAGATCCCCTAAAGAAGATCCCTGCCCCCAGGGGGTGGTTACTAAACCTGGAAAGAAGATCCCAGCCCGGGGTGGGGGGTGTTACTAAACCTGAAAAAATCCCTAAAGAAGATCCCTGTCCCGGGGGAGGGGGGGGTTACTAAACCTGGAAAGAAGATCCCTAAAGAAGATCCCAGCCCCCAGGGGGTTTACGAAACCTGGAAAGATCCCTAAAGAAGATCCCTGCCCCGAGGGGGCTGGGTACTAAACCTGGAAAGAAGATCCCTGCCCCGAGGGGGGTGGGTACTAAACCTGGAAAGAAGATCCCTAAAGAAGATCCCTGCCCCGAGGGGGGTGGGTACTAAACCTGGAAAGAAGATCCCTGCCCTGAGGGGGATTAGGGCTGGGTACTAAACCTGGAAAGAAGATCCCTGCCCCGAGGGGGGTGGGTACTAAACCTGGAAAGAAGATCCCTAAAGAAGATCCCTGCCCCGAGGGGGGTGGGTACTAAACCTGGAAAGAAGATCCCTGCCCTGAGGGGGATTACTGTAGCTGACTATCCTGGGCCATGAGTTGGGGTGATAGGGCCCGGGAGCCGGGCTCTGCAGTGCGAGGGGCTGTGCACGGACCAGCGCGCTCCTCTTGCACACTATTAAGGGCATCACGAAGCTCAGGGCAGCCCTGCGCAGCCCTGAGTCGATGCCCGCAGCTGGCACGGCCGCACACATCGATCACCTGCACAGCCATGACACTCTGCACGACGCACCAGCGGGCACCGAGTCTTTCACCCCCGGGGGTGACTTCCTTGCCCTCCCCTTAACTGCCCCAGAAGCAGCCTTGGAAATGCCAGTTTCACAACTGCTCCGCTTGTCAAGGCTTTTCGTAGCAGCCTTGAAACCGTGATCAGCCTTGGGAGATGGTTTTGGAGATGACGCTATCACGGCCCTGACTGAGAGCGCCGTGTGCTCGGTGAGCGCTGCTTGCGTTCAGTCTGGACGTGCACACTCGGGGAAGGGCAGAGCCTTGTTTCAGGCCCAAGGCAATGCCCATCAGTGGTGCACAAGCGAGAGGCAGGAGACAACGAGGGAGTGTGACAGGTCTCGTCTCTAATGCCTCGGGATCCAGCAAACCATTTCAAACCATGCAGGAGAGGCCTGTGTGTGCAGGACTCAGGCCGGAGGCTGACATTTGCCCCTGCTGGCGTGGGCCAGGCCGTCTACGCAGACGAATAAGACAGATGCAGGGTGTAAAACTGAGCTAAGTTTCCAATCAGTGCAGTGCTTGTGCCCGAAAGCATGCAAATCAAGACTTTTATTTTTTCCAAATATCGACACTTTCCAATTCATGCTGCGAAACCCCCCTGCACCAGAGCAGCTTGCTGTGTGATTTGTAGATGGGTTATTTTAAAATCAAACAGCAATAAGCTCACCGCCACCCTTTGCTGCCACGCTAGCCGACACACTCTGTAGGCTACTATTCACGCCCGGTGACGAGGAGCGCCCACAATACGGCCCCCTGCCTTGCAATCCCAGCCTTAGTTTGATCCAAAACCGAGGGACCTTTGCTTGGGCGACCAGCTGGAAGTTTGGCTGCTTTGAAGCATAATGCAGAGTAAGTTGTAATAAGAGCAGAGCACTTCGGGGGCTGCAAGGGAAGGGTTTTGGGTCCGCGCTAAACGGAGGGAGCAGCGTCTCCGGGAGCCGCGTGCAACAAGCGTCTTGTTCTTGGTTGAGCCCGTCTGCTGCGACCGGCGTGGCGCTGACCCCAACCCGGTTCGCAGGAACAAGACGCGCAGGCCGAATCCCCCCTTTGGAGCTAATAAAGGAATCGAGTGGGGTCCTTTGGCTCCAACAAAGGGATCTAGCAGGGTCCGCTGCATTTAAATGTTGATCCTTTGGATGTAATAAAGGAACCGAGTGGGGCGCTTTGGATTTAAATGGCGACCCTTTGGATCTAATACGGGAATGTAGTGGGGCCGCTCAGCTGCAACAGGGATCTACCTGGGATTTCTTTGCTTTAACCAAAGGGCTGTGATCCTTTGGCTGCAACAGGAATTTGTGTGTCATTGGCTTTGACAGAGGGATCTACTGTGAACCTTTGTTCCCAGCAAAAGAATCTAGCTGGATCCTTTGGCTTTGGCCAGGATCAGGCTCACCCTAGGGGGGGTCCCTTGCGATCGCCCGGAGCCCTTCGGGAGGGGGCGGGGCGGAGCACTCCCACTCCTGCAAAGGGCTTGGCTTCTGCTCGTATCCTTCCGCGGGCCCCGCCCCGCCCCCTCCGTTAGAGCCGGACTAGCGGCGAGATAGTCCCAGCGGAGGGATCTCGGAGGAGGCGGTCCTATAAAACGTCCGGTGGCGCTGTGAAGCGCAGTCAGATTCGCTCGGACGCCGTGTCGGTAGGAGTTGCGTAGCCTAGTCCCGCGGTGAGCGCCGGGAGGGGGAGGGACGGGGAAGGCGAAGGCGAAGATGGCGAAGCGGGGTGGCGGGGCCCGGGGAAGCCGCGGCGAGGCGGTGCCGGTAGCGGC